TTTTTTTTTTTTTTTTTTTTTTTTTCCTTTTTCTTTTGGCCTCCGAAAGAGGATTTTAAGTTTAATGCTAGAGGTTTGATCAATAATTAACAAACAGATGAATATAGCTATTGAAATGAACTGATAGGTAAAAAGAAAAATTAATCATATACACCATTTACTTGCCTGTCCACCTTCACCACCGTCTCCACCATCTGGGTCTTTACAACAATTAAGAAATTTAATAATATTTTCTGGTAATAAAGCGAAGGTTTATGTCCTATAATGCAAGAATTGGAAGAGAAACAGGAAGGAAGAGATGAACAGATCGAGTTAGTTGTGAGGTGAAGGAAGGAACCATGTAGATTAATTAATAAACAAAGTTTAGGAATGGTTAAGGGATAATGACAAAACAAATGATAAAGATTCAAAGAGAACGTGAAAGAAAAGGAGTTGGAAAAGACTTCTATTTTTGAGTTTGATCTGGCATATAGTTAATCTTTATTTGCTAAATAATGTCATCAATGAGTTTTGGTTACTTAGGACTCCAGCTTTTTATTTCTGCTAGATTTTAGGAGAAAAAAATGTTATCTTGTGGTATTATCTCAAAGGAGTAATTTAATTAAATTAAAATTTATTTTTTTAAATAGATTTATTTGTTTATTTATTTATTTTGCTTTTAAAATTTGTAATTCTGTTATTGTCTTTTTAATAGAATTTTTTTAGTTGATAATGGACTGAGTTCACATGAATTATATCTACTTAAAAGAAATAAGTGGTGATTTCATTTGTAATTTATCGTATAGTCATAAAATCACTAAAAAAAACTCACATTTAATTACTAAATTATTGGTTACTAAACTTTTATTTTACTTCACAAGTTAAAATTAGTAATGAAATTTAAATAGTTAATAAAACTTAAAAAAAGAGTAAATTGAAATTATAAATAGGGATTAGTGCTTGTTCACCTTACCTCCAAAAAATTAAGAGGAAAAATGATAAAAATCACCTTCATACATGCTTTAAAAATATATTAGTTTAGTCTTTTTCAATAAAAATTTATTGAAACGACGTAGTTTTGAGATGATTTTCTTCATAATCTTTAGGAGATAAAGCTAATAGGCACTATTTTCTTATAAATATATGTTGTATGCATAAATTTTGTTGAATTTAATTATTCTAATATATAAAATTTATATTATCTTTTTTTTAAAAAAAAAAGTCAAAAGAAATTTAACCTCTAAATGTTCTTTTACAAGAAAACCCCACTTTAGTAGGAAATGATTTACTTGAATTTAATAATTTTACAATCGGTATTATCAAAAACCTCTCACCTCATTTTATTTTATTAGTAAATTTTGTTAAATTTAATAATTCAAATATAAAACATTGACATTATCTAATTACAATTAAATTGAAGTAATATTTTATTCATAAAAAATATTAATATTTGACATATACTAAATATAAAAAAAGCAGGTAGCATTACATCTACTTTCTAAATTTTTGCAAATTCCTAACACAAAGTATCGACATTACCTTTGTAGTGTCGAAACCTAACCTGTGTCGAGTTTTAGGGTCCCTTTGCAATTTCTTCATCGGTAAACTAGTAAATATGGTCCTTAATCTTTTGCTTTATTAATACTTTGATTATTCAATTTTGCATAGGATTTAAATTTCTTGCTCTAAAGTTTTTAAAATATTTTAACTTAGGCTCCTAAATTTAATTTATGATGCACTTAAGTCTTTTCTCCAAAAAATAATTATCCATTTAAAATAAAAATTTCAAAAATTTTTTAGTTATTAAAATATAATATAGATGAAAATGAGTGAAATCTATTACTAATATTTGAAATCTATCACGATTGTAATAAGTTGCAATGATAACTTTCACAATTAGAAGTCTATATATTTTATCTGTGACCATTTTTTAGAGATGATTTATTTCATCATCACTGAACATATAGGTATTTGTGACCAACTCTTAAAATGTGTCACAATTGTGATGAGTTTTAGTAACGATTTTCATCATCACAAGTTTATATTATTTCTGTGATGGTTTTTAATTGATAAAATACCTTTCAATGATGAATTTTTTTGTTACACTACTAAATTTCCTATTTTTAGCAACATGCTTTCATGTTGCTAAAACTTCTTTAGCAACATACCTCTAGTTGCTAAAAGCTTTGTTGGAAATGCTTTGGCGGGTGATATATTAGCAACAAGAAGTTTGTTGGTGATGTATCAGCAACGTGAGGCACATGCCTCATGTTGCTAAAATTGTTGCCAAATTTTGGTGGGGATTTCGATAAAGATTTTGAATTTTTTCAACAACATAAGTGTAACATCCCTTTTTGGTAAACCAGAAGGTTTACCAAGCAGGGAAATGTATTCCACAAGATAAAAAAATAATAATAATAACAAGAGAAAATATCTATAAGAAAGGATTGTAGCGGAAGTAAAAAAAAACTTTTCTAATATAAAATGTTTTCTTACGAGAAAAACCCATTTTCAAATAATTTTTACTTTTGCGGAAAGAAATCAATTACCTATAAAGGAAAACTAATTTAATAAAAAACATCTTAAGGAAAATATCAAACTACTCAAAATTATAAAATAAGCTAGGCTATGCCCATTTAAATTAATCTTAATGTCATATACACAAGAGTAATTTATACAAAAAAAATACATGAAACCAATTGCTTTTCAAAATACTTTCTAAAATAATAAAAGAAAAATTATCATTTTAGTAATACATTAATTCGCTTTCACATCAAAAGCATTGAGGTTGGCATACGAGATTTATACCGAAAGCTCTCAAGTTGAGTAACCACTACTCCAGTCTACTAATTTGAGATGGGGGGGGGGAATATCATGAGCTAAAAAGCCCAGTAAGCATTAAGTTAAAGCTACAAACTTGGGTCCTATGACCCTTAGACCTATACACATGGAGAGCATAATAGAAAATCAAATTAAGCCACATAATATTATAAACCTCAATATCTAAATAACAATTTAATATCACAAATTAACTCACAGATAATTAAACATGCCAAGGAGTAATCAATGACATTTAAATCAAATACAAATGTGATGTCACAAGCATAATGCACAAAATCGAAAATCACACAATGCTATGGAGTTCACTAATGTGTGCTAGCAACACTAATACCGAAGCTAATCACGGCACTCACCCTACTGTGCAGAGATCCACTAAATACCCCAAAGGGTTCATTGAATACCCCAAGCTTTAAGCTTAGATCCACTTACTCCATAACCACAACCACATGCACATGTCAAAGAAATTCCAAACACATCCAAAAATAATGTAGGAATAAAATTCCATCCATTAATCCACTGAAACTTTCCACATAATTTACATAGCTTAGCCTCATGGTTAAGACATACAAAACATAACACTTAACCATCCAATTAAGTAAATGTAATTTAAAGCAATTCACTTTAAATTCCTAACACTTATTCACGGTTTCACCCACCAAAATTCAAAATTGTTTTCTTATTTTAACAATGAAAATTAATGCATAATTAATCAACCAAAACTAAGCACATTAATCACGGGCAGCACCTCCAATTAAGCTTAATCATAAAATTTCCAAAGGTATTCACATAAATGTACAAAGAAATATTAAAACAGCCATAACAAGTAAATAACCAGTAAAATTCACACATGAATCATGATTCCAAGCATAAAACTAAAACCCACTTCAAACCTCAAACCATACATATACCCAAAATTCCTAAAATTGCTAAACAAAATTCTAATACCTGAAATCTCTTAAACAAAGGATTTAGGCTCCAATTTTACTAATTTAAACTAATTTTCAGTTTATTGTAACAAACCTATAACCTACCCCAAAAACTCTAACCCAAATTCATAGCTTAAAACTAATACTTATTTGGAAATCAAAGCACCAAACTCAAACAACCAACGAAAATTGAAAGAGATTTCACCGGAGGGTGCATTCCACACATCCCACTCGACAGCCAAAGGAGAAAAAGTGCAGAGGATCTGCTAGAATAAAAGGGAAGGGTGCAGGGAGGATGGGTTCGGGTGTTCAAAGCAAAAAGTGGGATTTTTGTCTTCCTAAAAGCTTCCAGAGGAAGACTCACAGGATTCTAAAGTGTTCTAAGCCCAAACTTGGTAAATATTGTGCCTCATGTCTCCACATTTGGCTAAAATAGTTGGATGGTCTCTAACTATCTCAAGATTTCACATAAAGTTCACATAATCTAAATCTAATCAATTTAACTTCTAAAATATTAAAATAAAGGACTTAAAATTTTAATTTATTCACTAAAATATATGAGGTGTTACAATAAGCCACGTTGGTTGTAATATCTCAAATTTTCTGAAATTCTAGCATTTAAGTTGAGGACCTTTGTGTGAGGAAATATTATTCTGGGACTTAATAGCAAAATATCCAAACTTGAGGGACTTAAAAGAGAAAATGAATTGGATAAGGATCAGCTATTTTTTTTTCCTTCTTTCTTCTTCCTCACCCGCGCGTCTGCTCTTCTTTTTTTCTTCCCCTTGCAGTCGAACAAGAAGCAAGCCTGATAGCACCCATCCCTTGAGAAAACTGGTAAAGCTTGGTGATTTCTCCTTTCTTTTCTTGCTCAATAACAAGTTTTAGGACTTAGAACTCTCTTTCTCAACTTATAAATTTTCAGATCTGCTGCTGCCTTCTCCCTCCTTTGCCGCTGGTTGTTGCTGTGGGTAGTGGGTTCAGTTTTTCCGGTAAGCCACAGCCATGAACTTCATCTTTTCAGCTTGATTTAGCTTGGTTTCATTTTAAATCTGTTGTTTGTTCAATTTTGGGTTAATTCCGTGAGTCCCCTGCAGAATTGTTACCGGCTTCTCCCCCTCGCCAGGTCCGGTTCTGCAGCTGCTAAATTCTGGTATGTTGATAGCTCCTCCAAGCCCGAAATTTCATCAATTAGTTGCTGAATTTTGTCCATTTATTTGCTGCCCTGTGCTATTTAAATGATTAGTTGTAATATAAGAACAAATTTGGAGATGTCCGGTCATGTGGAAACTAATAGAAATAGCATCGTGATTAAGGGTAGTCCTAATAATGATTTCACTTTGAATTTGTGGTAGTGCGGTATTAATTTTGGAATATTTTGGCTAGGTTCTCGATTATTCTACCACCCTAGCACTTGGGTTAAGCCTTCTGTTCTGTCCGATTTAAGGTAAGTAAATTATGGTAACGCCCTTCGATTTCAAAGCATGTTTTAAATTGTTTTTGAGATGGTGGCAAGGTTTAAATTGATCTTAAGGTTTAAATTGTTTTATTAGCACCGAGCATGATTGATTTGAAATGGAATTATTTTCGTTTTCATTGAGTAGTGCATGCCACTTGGAACTTACTGAACTACTCTGATGATTTGAGAATTTTTCGTAAATTATGATTTTCTGTTAAATCCATGCCCACATGGAATTTTCTGGTTAATTCTGAAATTTGAGATTTGATTGTGAATTACGAATTTCTTTTGTAAATCCTGCATGGTTTTGTCTCTGATATGGTCATGTATTACTGTGCCTGCTAGTGGGAGGTTTATAAATGCTGGCCATGACCTATAGATGAGACTACTACTGAATTTTCTTCTGCATTAACGGTTTTTCATTGAACTCTTTGTTATTGAACTGAATCTAAGCTAGCCACCTGTAATTTGATATAGATTTTAGATATAGATCATGATCTTGTAAGTTAGATTTTAATTGGAGATTTTATAAATTCATTTAATGGATTGTTAGTTTACAAGAGATTTGACTTTGAGATTTTAAGCTTAAGTCATGTTGGATATAGGATTATTTTGAAATATCTGATTTAAGTTATTGGATTGTTAGATGTGAATTGGATAAATTAAGAGCTTATGATTAAATTAATCACCTCCAGATTGAGTGGTATCAGAGTTTAAGTTTAATTAAATACCTAGGTTTAATTGAATACCTAGGATTTGTTTAGAACTTGGCTGGCTAGTGGATTTTAGAACCGTAGTGAGATGAGTGATGGGGTTATATAAGGGACGATTCTGATTCATGTTGCCTGAATTTTCTAATCTATTTTGATGAGATGGTAATCTGATTGTTCTTGTTTCCTACCTTCAGACCTTGTGTAAATTCATGAAATTAATCTTATCCGCCATGTTTTTTAAGACCTTGTTTTGAAACTTGGTCATTTTCTGATAGTCTGCACTTGTTGAGACTGGTTACTTGAATAGAATTTTTGTATGCTCTTTTGCCACAATTGTAAAATATGCGAGTTGCAGAGATCTTTTGTTATGGATCCTGTTGGTCTTTACAGCATAGCTAGTTGAGAAATTTGTTTTGTTTGTCACATGACTAGTGGAAGATGGGCAAACCCTTTGCAAATCCTGTTTGGTAATTTCGCTGCTCATTATCTTTCTGAAAGTCTTATAGTGAAGTTTCACTTTTTCCATTTGGAGCTTCATGGTCTTTTCCTGTGGCTAATTTTTCTATATTGGTTAATCAAAAACAGTGATTAATTCAATTGAAATTGTCATGTTTTTTGTGAAAATTGGCAAGCTGTCATAAAGTTAAACTCTTTGTTGTTGCTAATCTCTGCATTCTTGATACTTGGAAACTGCTTGAAACTCTTGAAATCCATCTTGAATCTTTCTTGAGATTGCTTTGTACTTGTTCTTGAAACTACAATCCAAAGGAAATGGATAATGATTATTGAAATTCTCATTATCTTGATTCTTGTCTAAAATTAATTCTTGCATTGTTATTGGAATTTTATCTTGAACCTTGCCTGGAGTAAAGTCATGTTAGCATCCTTTACTTGAAAATCAATTGATATTTGGTTTTTGGAATCTATTTTGAATTGTCCTTGAAAACCATTCTTGTCCTGACCCTTGCTCTTGTTCAAATTCTGTATACTGCTCTTGCTCAAATCCTGCATATTCTACTAGTTCTTGTTTCAATATACCTGTTGATCTTCGTGATTTTTTATTTTTGTTCATATGGACACCTCTTTAGGAGGGGTGATGATTATTAAAAAATACCTATATGAGGCATCCTAATTCTTGTCTCTTGCAAGTGTTAATCTCTGTATCCTTGATGTCTTAGCTTTGACTTGACTCTAGGATGTCTAGGATGACTTGATTGTAAATATGCTTAGCCTGCATGGGCTATGAGGTGAAGGGGTAGTCTTTGAAGTACCTGATGCCCTAGAGTTTTGTTCCAAGAGAAATGGTTCTTTTATCTGGCTACTTTGATTTTTGTTTGCCCTTTTAATTAGAAGACAGTAATCTTCTAAGTATCCTAATCACCATTATTGATTATTCTATTAATTAATTCATGTTACTTGGGGTGCTAGATCTTGACATCCTGGTTATATCTACTCTTGAATCCATGTTCTGGTTGTCATTATTGAAATCTCTTTTGTGGGCCTAATCCTTGAATTCTATTACTTGTTTCATGGTTAACTCTTATCTCTTAATTTTGACTGCTTGGTTAAATTTGATCTTGATTATTAGTGAATGCCGTTTGTTGCTAAATTTTTTGAGGCATTTTACCTTGCACTCTTATGTTCCAGTATTCTTCCAAGCATTCATATTTTCCATTGATTTCATTCTGATGCTATTCTGGAAATTTCACGTCATTTGATGGGTCTAGTTTTTAACTCTTGTTGATTGCTAAAATTTGTTTTTTGATTCCAGTTGCTTTGTTAAACATGACTTTGCTTATCGGTTAACCTTGTTTTGTGGTAGAATGTATAAGGCATCCATGCACTTGTTCATTCATTTATGATCCATATATCCATTGGATGCTTATCCGTCTTTAGTAGAGTTCAAAATTTTGTTGTACTCATCTTTAAATCCATGCCATTTTTTTTTTTTTTTTGCCAACTCGTTTTGTGTTGGGTTCATAGCGTAACCCCACAAATTGTTCTTTTGTAACCTTGGCAGGATTTATTTTTATTTCTTGTGCTTCCCCATATCACCCCAGCCTCTAGTACCTTATTTCATGGTAAATCCTGTTAAGTAGTTAATGTTCTGTTTTTATGATTAGTTGTGGTTTAATATCAGAGTGGCACAGCGGAAGCATAGTAGGCTATGTTTTGTTCATAAAGAGTTGGTGAGGCATTTGTTTTGTCTTGAATTGTGTGAAACCATTCACCAGTCTAGATGATCCTCGATTTGAGTTTTAGGGACAAAACTCCTTTTTAGGAGGGGTGAATGTAATATTCCAAATTTTTTGAAATTCTAGCATTTAAGTTGAGGACCTTTGTGTGAGGAAATATTATTCTGAGACTTAATAGCCAAAATGTCCAAACTTGAGGGACTTAAAAGAGAAAATGAATTGGATAAGGATCAGCTATTTTTTTCCTTCTTTCTTCTTCCTCACCCGCGCGTCTGCTCTTCTTTTTTTCTTCCCTCTGCAGTCGAACAAGAAGCAAGCCTGACAGCACCCATCCCTTGAGAAAACCGGTAAACTTGGTGATTTCTCCTTTCTTTTCTTGCTCAATAACAAGTTTTAGGACTTAGAACTCTCTCTCTCAACCCATAAATTTTCAGATCTGTTGCTGCCTTCTCCCTCCTTTGCTGCCGGTTGCTGCTGTGGGCAGTGGGTTCAGTTTTTCCGGTAAGCCACAGCCATGAACTTCATCTTTTCAGCTTGATTTAGCTTGGGTTCATTTTAAATCTGTTGTTCGTTCAATTTTGGGTTAATTCCGTGAGTCCCCTGTAGAATTGCCGCCGGCTTCTCCCCCTCGCCAGGTCCGGTTCTGCAGTTGCTAAATTCTGGTATGTTGACAGCTCCTCCAAGCCCGAAATTTCATCAATTAGTTGCTGAATTTTGTCCATTTATTTGCTGCCTTGTGCTGTTCGAATTTTGTTGAAAAATGGGGATGAATCTCGATAGTAATTAGAGCATAATTAAGTTTAATTCATGTAGAAAATTAGCTTATTTTGGCTGCTGTGATTTTTGGAGAAAACCCCGTGATGAGCTATTGTTTTGCCAATTTTGGAAGTTGCTGTTACTGTTCACGGGCATTGTTCACGCACTGATGGCCAACAATTAACGGGGATTAAATGATTAGTTGTAATATAAGAACAAATTTGGAGATGTCCGGTCATGTGGAAACTGATAGAAATAGCATCGTGATTAAGGGTAGTCCTAATGATGATTTCACTTTAAATTCGTGGTAGTGCGGTATTAATTTTGGAATATTTTGGCTAGGTTCTCGATTATTCTACCACCCTAGCACTTGGGTTAAGCCTTCTGTTTTGTCCGATTTAAGGTAAATAAATTATGGTAACGCCCTTCGATTTCAAAGCATGTTTTAAATTGTTTTTGAGATGGTGGCAAGGTTTAAATTGATTTTAAATTGATTTTATTAGCACCGAGCATGATTGATTTGAAATGGAATTATTTTCGTTTTCATTGAGTAGAGCATGCCACTTGGAACTTATTGAACTACTCTGATGATTTGAGAATTTTTCGTAAATTATGATTTTCTGTTAAATCCATGCTCACATGGAATTTTCTGGTTAATTCTGAAATTTGAGATTTGATTGTGAATTATGGATTTCTTTTGTAAATCCTGCATGGTTTTGTCTTTGATATGGTCATGTATTACTGTACCTGCTAGTGGGAGGTTTATAAACGCTTGCCATGACCTATAGATGAGACTACTACTGAATTTTCTTCTGCATTAACAATTTTTCATTGAACTCTTTGTTATTGAACTAAATCTTATTCTGCATTAATGGTTTATCATTGAACGTTATGTTATGTTAAATTGTTTATCAGGCATGCTTAAATTTTATCCACGGGCTATCCATATTTTTACTTACTGAGTTATCTCATAGTTTTTCTTTGTCCACCATTTCAGGAAGCGAAGTCAAGGACAGGGGAAAAACGAGGGGAGTGACGAGTTAGAAGGCTAGCCACCTGTAATTTGATATAGATTTTAGATATAGATCATGATCTTGTAAGTTAGATTTTAATTGGAGATTTTATAAATTTATTTAATGGATTGTTAGTTTACAAGAGATTTGACTTTTGAGATTTTGAGTTTAAGTCATGTTGGATATAGGATTATTTTGAAATATCTTATTTAAGTTATTGGATTGTCAGATGTGAATTGGATAAGTTCCGAACCTTGTGCATTTGTGGGATCGTCTCACAAGTGCACGGCGTCTGTCGCGCCTCAAATTCAGGTTTTGGGGCGTGACATTGCTAAAACTAAAATTTTAGCAACGTGATTTATGTTGCTAAAAATTTTGCCAATTTTCGACCATCATCTCCGGTGGGCTCCTTATGGTGGTTTCAACAACATAAGCCATGTTGTTGAAGACATGATTTCAACAACATGGCTTATGTTGCTGAAAATTTTGTGAATTTTTGGCCATCATCCCTGGTGGGCTCCTTAGGGTAGTTTCAACAATATAAGCCATGTTGCTAAAAACATGATTTCAGCAACATGGCTTATGTTGCTAAAAGTTTAAGAGGATGTGTGCCATTGTTTTTAAGCAACATATACCTTGTTGCTGATTGCATGGTTTCACCAACATGGTTTTTGTTGCTAAAGGTTCAGGGAGGTGTGGCCCTTTAATTTTCAGCAACATAGCTCTCGTTGTTGATTTTGAATTTTCAACAAAAAGAACTATGTTGGTGATAATAGCCATTACCAGCAACATCTTCCTTGTTGCTCATAGTGGGGTGAATAGCACAACTCCTTTTCAACAACATACTTTTTATTGGTGATGCATAAAAATTCATGATAAAAAAAATTTATATCTACAAATATTCTAAATTTATATTTCTTATTTTTACTTTTATAATAAAAAAAACATTACATTAATTTTATGGATAATTATACATACACCCAAACAATCAACACCCATCTCAACACTCAAGGCTAAAATGAGGAGGGGTAAATTTGTAATTTTACTATTCATAAGCCTTGGGTGTTGAGATAGGTGTTAATTGTTTGGGTTTATGTATAATTGTCTTAATTTTATAGTAAGTGTATTTGGATATAAATTTTATTTTTTTTTATAATTATCAAATATGAAATCTCTTAATATCTTAAATACTATTTAATTAATTATACATATAAAACATTTAAAACAATTTAATAAATATTTATTTTTTAGAAAAACTTTAATAAATTTTATCATAATAAATTTAAATTAAATGACTTAAGTTAATTAATGTTTAATTAGTTATCTTACCAAACTTGAATTTTTTACTTAATTAATTAAAAATTACCTACAAATCAAACAAAATAACAAAAGCATTAATTACTATATATAATATTTTATAAATATATTAAGCTACAAATAAATTAATACCTTAATAAGCTAACAAAGAATACTTAATAATGTAATATTCAAAAAAAAAAAATTCATACAATATCTGCTTCAAGGAATTAATTAAAGTAATTACTTGATAAAATTTATTCAATTATTCATTCATATATACATTTAATGCTAACAAAGAACAAGTAATCATGAAAATGGCATGTGTGATTAATTAGATCTACATATCTAAATATGGAGGACTTACGCTAAAAGAAAAAAAAAATGCATGACATTGAGAGAGATCTGGGCACAGATCGATTATTAGATGATGGTGCATGCAGCGCAACATGCAGTAGATCTGGGCGAGAAAAGATCTAGATCAGATGATGGTGCATGCAGCATGCCACGTGAGAAGAAAGAAGGGCATCAGAGCATCGGAGATGGTTGAGAGGGTTGGGGAGGAGAGGTGCGCTTGCAGCATCATCAGTAGCCTGCAGCTAAGAATGAAAAACTTTACCATTGGAAGCCATGATCGAGATCTGCAAAAAATTAAAGCATGGACATGAGTGAGAAGGGCAGGTGGTATATAAAGAACTTTCAGCAACATACAGTTATGTTGCTGAAAGTTTTTCACCCTATCAGCAACATACTCTATGTTGCTAAAGCTTATTTGAATTTCAACTCCACTACTCATCACCAACATATAGCATGTTGCTAACACTTTAAATCATTCCTACTTCCGCTAGCCACATTACTGAATGAAAAAAAAAATTATATTTTAATTAATTGTTAATCTTTAAAAAAATATAATTTATATCTAAATTTTAATTTATTAGTTGGTTTTTTTTTTAATTTATTAAATTTTATTTAACACTTGTCAAATTAATATACATAATTACATTATATATTAACATTTTCAAATAATTAAAAACTCTATTTTTCTAAAAAAAATGTAGACATGCATATGAAGTGATATAGACATGTCACATAAAAATATCCTACTATTTACTTTACCAATAGTTGACTTTTTTCAAAACTAACATTTGACTCTTTTCCATTAAGAGTCGACTCTTTTCAATAAAGAGTTGACTCTAAATACTAAGAGTTGACTATACCACCAACCCCAAGGTTTTCAACTAACTGGAATTTGGGAGTCGAATGTTGATCATCTATAATCGACTCTTTAAGGCTTTAGAGTCGACTCTCAATAATAAGAGTCGACTATATCCACCAACCCCAATGTTCTCAACTCTCTGGAATTTGGGAGTCAAATGTTGACCGTATATAGTCGACTCTTGTGGCTTTAGAGTCGATTCTAAATAAGAAGAGTTGACTATACCCACAACCCAAGGTTCCCAACTCTCTGTAATTTGGGAGTCGAATTTTGACCTTATATAGTTGACCTTTTAAGACTTTAGAGTCAACTCTTATTATTAAGAGTCGACTCTCAATAAGAAGAGTCGACTATCCTTATCAACCCCAATGTTCCCAGCTCTTTCGAATTTGGGAGTCGACTTTATACTAGATGTACATACTGCCAACTTTGCAGTGAATTTTCGAATTTTGCCACATCCTTGACTATTGTACTATGTCTTATTGCACTTTGATTTTACCAGAGCATATGTTTTCAATTTACCACATAATTTCAAATATGTAGTAACTATATAATTTCCCCATGTCCTAATCATTATTTGAAAGATAACTATATAAATACCACATGTAGCATTTAATATGACCATTTGCATATTCTAAACTTGCAACTCACAGCAATTCAATTAATATTACTACAAACCATTCAATCCCAACTTGCATATGCACCACCCATGTCATAGCAAATTAAAATCATCCATCTGAAAACTGAAAGTGTTTCGATCAAATTGCAGGAATATGCACACTCATCATTCGGGCCCAAATGGACCTTGGTAATCTGTATCAAATCTCGACAGGTAACCATAATCATCTAGCAGGGCATTTACCAGGGATGTATCGGGAGCTTCTGATTGTCCCCCCATTTGACCCATGGGGAATGCAGGTTCTATTGGGAGTTGCATTAGCATTGCATGTAGAAAAGATGGGCCAGTGGTAGGATATGATGACCCTACTACAGGAAATGCTTGCCCAGCATAAGTCAATGATGGGTTAGCACTAAGGGGGCACATCCCATATGAAGTAAAAGCAGTGAATTGCTGCAATAGAGCAGCCTGCATCCTGCCCATATCTTCCAGCATACGTTGCATTGATTCTCATTATTGCTTAACCTACCTTATTTCCTCTTGCATCTGTTGCATTGCCTTGCTATCTCTTGCTTGTTTTTCAGCTAGGTCTAATATCATCAAGCTCATGTATGAATTCCCCATTAGTTGTTGTTTTCTATACGTAAACCCAAGTTTCTTTGGGTTTACTTGCAATCCAATTCCGGGCATGAAATTGCTATGGCATCCCCCAACAGCAATTGCCCATGCTTGATTGTCCCGTGGAGGCCATGATGTTGAGTCGGACCCATGTGTAGCAGAGCACTTAGCTACATACGTATCTTGCAAAAGTAGTGCAAAAAATTCTATAATATATGGTTGCAAATTGGCTTAATGTTCTATACATGTAACAATGCTAATAATTGTTACCATTATTATTTTCAAACAACTGATAACAAAGTAGCAATCATCAATAGAAAAGCAATATAATAATCTATTTCAAAAAGGTGTACACATACTAATACTTACTGATGCAAATTTTTTGTTATATTTTATTTACCACCACTAACTTTGTAATAAGCCTTTTATTTACTTTTGGTAACAATCCATATCACTCATAAAAAATTGTTATCTAGTATGTTTGCACTTACATGACGGGTCCTATGTTTCTCCCCACACCATGAAGCTTCTTGGTCTCGGGGGACACCTTTTCTCAAAGTGTGAGTTTCCTTATACAAGTTTTGATGTGCCGGCGTTATCCTCCTAGCAGCTTTGGTCTATGTGTCACAACCATCTTACGACAATTAGCAAGTCACTTATATTTTTAGTTAACAAATAATTATATAGAAAATAATATCACTTGTGTTAATTATCTATTATATATATACACTTTTCTTTCTTTTTTTGCTTACCATCCGTTTTTCGTGTACATCACAACTCATTGATCCTATAGTATGTGTAACTCGCTCCCCAGATGCCCAGTTTTTCTTCCCCCTCTCGTTGAGATTGTGAAACTCATCAGAATCCCAATAAGCACATAAGTTAGACCATAGGTGCTCAAGCACCCATAGTGGCTTGTAGTCACCGTTTCTACACCACTTATCTCATTCATCCTTCATATTATCGCCCCATCTTTGTTTCATTGATCTTAAGAATGCCTTACGAACCGCATCATCATCCTCCATATCCCATTGATAATGTGCCTATCACCATATACAAACAAATTACTTCTATGTATAGTAATAACATGTAATATAATAACATAATATGTATGTCATATACCAATTTTTGCTACATACTTTGCGTTTAATACATAGAATATTGCCAACTTCACCATTTTCAATACTAAGTACTAGCATTTGCTTTTATATATAATAATTTTGAATGCCAATCTTGGTATTTTTTATAAGTTAATGACTTCCATGACAATTTACTTAATTTTATTGAAGTACAATTCTTTTCATATGAAAGACCTAATTGAAACAAATGAAAACCTTACCATATTGACAAACTCAGAAATATATGAATTTTCCTGTTATGTGTAGGATTATATAGTTTAACCAAAGAAAACCATTAATTGCATCATATACCTTACTCCTAGTATGCCTTGCCTATTATGTTTTTTTTTTTTTTTTTGGTGTATGTAATACTCACACCATTAACTTACCTTTTTCGACCAATGCGCTTGCAATTGTGAATTTGGCTTCATCGTAAATGTTATTACAGTTAGCATTAATCACATGCGACATATTACATGGAGGAGGATTATACGATAATTATTCTTACCTTAAACAGCTCCCACACTTGCACCCTCTTGTGCCCTGGGAACAATTCAAATGTGAAGTAATCATTATCATAAAACCTCTTCCACAGAGTCATAATCAATTTTAGGACTTCAACATCCAAAAATGTACCCTTATGCGAAAGCTATATAAATGGTCTCTCCTTTGGTTTTCTTGTAGCCTTCTTTGGTTTGTTTGGACCTCTTCCCTTCTGCCTCTCTTTATGGGATGAGCTAGCTGCATGAATAGAACCTTGTAGACTAATAGATTGAGTATGGCTTCTACCCAATATTGGTGTAACATCACAAGCAAGATCTATAATGTCTTGCCATCCTTGTTTCCCTGATGTGCTGCGACTGCGCGTAGAGTTCATAGGCCCAATCGACATCCTGCAAAACATATAGTGATAGAGAAGAGGTAAGTATGAATGTCACCAAATAAATATATGTCTAGATTATCAATTTCCTTTTGTAAGCATTTGCAACATCATAAATAATGATAATGAAACAAAATTGAAGCAACAGTCACTACTCATTACAAAACATATTTGTTAATTTTGCTTTTTTCGTACACAAATTTTTTTTTTATGACCAAAAATTTTAAAACTAATATATCACATGAACTTCAAATTTTAAACTACTATCCCGTGTCGCTACTATTGTCATCAACATCTCGGGTTGTTTCATATCTTTTCATTTCCTTCACTCATATCTTCATCATAATCATCATTTGCATTTCCATTTAATTCAACCACTATTGCTCCTTCTGCATGGAGATGCATGCGTTTTGTAAATGCCAAATCAAAACTTCTCTCAACTAATGGTGTGGATGGTGGCTCATCATCTTGGAATATTTCTTCAATATCAGCTAAGGTTGAAAAAGTGTCAATCAAATGTCTAGTGTCAATCAGATGTCTATCACGTATTTTGCATGCTACGAACCATTCACGAGTTGCTCGATTATTTGACGGGTAACTAGTGTAATACACTTGCGTTGCCTGACATGCCAAGCAAAATGGTTCGTTGGTCGATAGTTTGTACCGTGGGTTGACCTCAACAATGTTGTAAACTTGGTTCACATGTGTTCCCCTATCTGTATCGAACCAATCACAATTGAACAAGACAATTGTCTATAATGGCCCATGTTGTCTATAATATAGTAGTTCGATGGCTTCATTAAAGATGCCATAATAATCAGCCTTGACCTCATCAAATATGGTTGTTCCTTTCACACATACACCACAATTATATGTTTGTCTTTCAGTACTAACCTCTTGTGTCAAAAATCTAAAACCGTTGATATAATAACCTTTTGTACACATTCACTGTCCATGTTGAGCCCAGTGCAAGGTATTGTAAAACTTCATTATCTTCATGATAGCCACTTAGCACCTACAAAATTTATATGTACGTGTTATTATTGAAATGTATAATGTCTTTGTTAAAAGACGTAAATAGTTAATATATTGTATCTGATTATATGTGTATAGGTATATAAGTATATGATTATATGTGTATAGTTATATAATAATAATAGCAAGAAAATAACAAGATGAAGAAATATTGTTTTACCTTATTTTTGAACCACATAACAAACTTTTGGTGTGTGCTTCATTTGGATTAGAAGAATTCATATATGCACCAATTTTTGCATCAAAGATGCTGCAATATGGGAACAATTAGTTATGACGACAAATGGAAAGTTGAACCTTCATGCTATACTTGATAAATAGGCGTTTAGTTTGTCATATCTTATCGAAGAAGCGCATCCACTTCCCTACAGTTTAGTAGTACATACAGTTCAGTTGCATGCATCTCTCGAATCGTTAGACAGTGTATCTGTGAATGTGAATCTATCGGATGACCAGGGTTCGCAAATATTGAGAATTCTGTGTTCCTATGAAGCGGAACTCCTACGAAGTTCCTTGGGGGCTTATTCCAACTTGTTTTAACATCAGCACCAAAATATCATGAGCAAAATTGTGTTGTTTCATTTAGAATGTATGCTTCGACAATAGAGGCCTCAACATGATTCTTGCTCCCTATCATTTGTTTTAGTTTGTGCATTTGTCTGTAAAATTAGAAATAAGATATGAGCATAAGAAATGGTTGTGTATTCTATTATACATGAAATTAGTGCCAACTTATTCCCTTACCGTTCAAACGGGTACATCCATCGAAATTGTACAGGCCCACCAATTTATGCCTTGAAAGGAAGATGGATTGGTAGGTGCTCCATACAATCGAAAAATGATGGCAAAAAGATTCTTTCCAACTTACATATTGTTTCAACTATCTTCATTTCTCAAATCGCCATATCTTTTATGTTGACAGTTGGGGAACATAGTGCATGGAAGAAATTAGTCACTTCCGTTAATGGACCGCATATAGAATCTGGCAAGAAGCCACGGAAAGCAATTGGAATGAGGGCTGCATGAATATGTGGCAATCATGACTTTTCATCCCAACCAAGCGCAACTCACGTAAGTTCACACAGCATGCGATGTTAGACACAAAACTATCTGGAAATTGCACATGTTTGAGCCATGTACATGGCTGTCTTTTCTCTTTTGTATTAAGTGCATAACTAGCATTTGGCTTGCAAAGTGAACCACGCCTATCGTAGTACAAGTGTAGTTCTTCCCTATCACAGTACAATGGTAAGTCCATTCTTGACTTAACATTGTCTTTTGAGAATGGGTCATCCATGACTATGTGAATAATGTTGTCAAAGAAATACTTCTCGCAGTGCATGACATCAAGATTATGTCGGATCAAGTTATCCTCCCAGTATGGGAGATCTCATAAGATACTTCATTTGACCCAATTGTGTGTTTCACCAAACTTGGGAATAGTTTGGTTTGTTGATGGATTCCCGAATAAAATATCAGGTAATGCGTCAACTCGAACTTGAATGGCCTGACCATCCAACTATGGAGGAGGGGGGCCAAATTTAAAGCACCCCTTAAGGAATTGAGTTGCATTCATTCTATATGAGTGAGATTCAGGAAGAAACTATCGATGACAGTCAAAGAAGGAAATCTATGACCATGTTGCAAGTAAAAGGCCCGAGTCATTTCCATGCAATATGGACAAGACAAACGGTCATGCGTGCTCCATCCAAAAACCATACCATATCCAGGAAAATCTGTTATGGTCCACATAAGCATGGCTTGCATTGTGAAGTTCTGTTTACGGAAGTTGTCAAATGTTTCGACCTCAGATGACCATAATTGTTTTAGGTTATCAATAAGTGGTTAGAGAAAAACATCAATGTTTTTCCTTGGATTTTTTGGTCCAGAAATAACAAGTGTAAGGAATGTGAATTCAGGTTGCATACACATTTTAGGAGGCAAATTATAAACAATGATGAAGACAAGCCAACATGAATATGATGTTGAAGAATGTCCCTATGGGTTGAACCCGTTTGTCACAAGACCAAGACGAACATTTCGTGGATCACGTGCAAAGGAAGGATGAACTTCATCAAAGTGCTTCCAAGCAGTAGACTAAGCAGGGTGAATGAGGACCTTTATGTTAGCACGACATTTAAGGTGCCATGTCATATGTTCAGCAGTTTTATGAGACATATGCAACCTCTGTAGGCGTGGAATTATGGGTAGATACCTCAAACAATTCCTTGGCTTATCCTTTTTCCGAGTTTGAGCAGGGTTACGTCTTTTATACCTATCTTCACCACAAACTGACAAGTAGTCAGTGACTTAGCCTTATCCCCGTAATACAAAAAGCAATTGTTGATACATGTATCAATTTTGACATAGCCTAAACCTAGGCTTTTCATGAATTTTTTTGCTTCATAAAAATTTGCCGGTACTTTTTGTTGATCTTCAAGACTTAACAATTGCATGCAGCTATGAATGATTTCATTATAACCAACACCACTAATGTTGTTTTTTGTTTGTGTGTAGCATATATGCTACCCAACTAAGCACAATTTGATCATTAGATGAAGGTCAAAGCGGGATGGTTGAAGCATGCAACAAGTCATAAAAAGCTTGTGCATGACTATTTGGCTCATCTCCAACAGTTTCAGCTGGAAACTCTATTTCATTTCTATGGTGATTGTTCTCATATAGACAGAATGCATCATAAACCATGTGTTGGAAATCATCCTCAACATTAACATGTTCCTCAATAGTACTTGAGGATGCCACATCATGTATGGCCAACCACGGATCAACATTGCCACTTAAAGTTTCACCATGTGCCAACCACACAGAATATGTATCCATGAAACTATAGTTCAAAAGATGCTCTGTTACGGTTGCCTTGTTCTGGTAAGGTAAATTACCACATTTACTATAGCGGCAACGAATTTCGCTATTCCTGTGGACACCAGGATGATTGTATACCAATCAAAAAATTGTTGCAATCCATGAAAGAATTCACCATCACAATCTCCATGAAGACCTCGTCATTTATACATCCAACGACGGTCATTTGTCATCCTTAACTGAATAATAGAATTAAAAGCTTAAATAGATTAAATTCTTATTAAGGTATTAATAGAAAATATAAAATTATGAATAATAGATAAAGAAACTGGATAACCCATCAGGTGGTACCTAAAGATTGTATAAATATATATATATTGTTAGCAAATTATCTTTAAGTAAATGGGGAAAATGTGCATATATTAAAAGTTGAGGGAAACAATTGACATATATTAAAACTTTGGAGACTTAAAGTTAAAATGATACATAAATGAAGGACTAAAATGTATATATTAAAAGTGTATGGACTTAAAGTTAAAATAATACACAAATGAAGAACTAAAAAGTATATATAGTAAAAGTTTATGGACTGAAAGTTAACATGATACATAAATGAAGGACCAAAAATTAAATAGGTTATAAGTTTATGGACCTAAAGTTAACATGATACATAAATGAAGGACTAAAAAGTATATATTCTGTACTATAGGGACTATAAAGTATATATTGTAAATTATAGGGACTAAAGATTGGACCCCTTGAAATTTATGGATCAAATTTGGGATTTAATGTTGACTCAATGTACTCCAAGAGGGGGGGTGAATTGGAGTTCCAAAAATTCTCCCATTTTTGCAACCACAAAACCAAAATTAAAGAGAGTAGAGAAGAAGAGCTTGCTCAATGATTTATAGAGGTTCGGGTCCAACCACTTGGAGCCTAGTTCTCTACCTTGGCTTCACTCACCAAGGATTTCCTCCACACTCTCCACTAACAACAACAAGGGTGGCTTAAAGGAGCAACTCAATCCTTTTACAACAAGATGAGTATTTCTCTCAAACCTCACCCCTTTACAATGTAAGCCCCACAAATCCTCTCAATAGATCACTCTTGAAGGAATCAACACACCCCCAAGATCACTCAATAATAGCACAAGAAGAGGATTACAAGCAATGATCACTCAAAGATCAAAAACTCAAGTTAAAGCTCTAATGGGTAGGTAAAGATATTCAATGCAATGTTCTCCAACCTTCTTCAGATCTGTTACCAACCATATTTATAGCCCCTTGCTCGAAAAAAGCCGTTTCTAGCCGTTGGGGGTCATTAAATGCTCTGCAGGACACAAAGCTCGAGCTGCAGAATTGTCAGGAGAGCCGGCTTAACATATTAGAGCCGGTTCTGCAGAGCCGGCTTACATTTCCAGAGCCGGCTATCCGGGTCTGCAGACCATTCTGTTTTTCTCGGGAGTTGGCTGCAAAACTTTGAGCCAGCTTTGCAACTCTGACTTTAAATACATTAATAATCTTCAAATGACTCGACCGTTGTGCATTAAATGCACCCTCACAGCCGGCTACAAAGCCAGAGCCGGCTTTGCGCCTTCTCTCCGCGCGCGCCAAACAACGGTCTTCAAATTTTTGCCTGTAGAGCCGGCTGCAGCTTCCAGAGCCGGCTTTCTGCATTCCATTTCACTAGAGCCGGCTGCACTTTACCAGAGCCGGCTCTCTGCACATTGAATCCTTTTGGTCTATTTTTAGTGCCATCCAAGTTTACTTACAATCTTTTAGCAACTTAACTACACACTTAAATAAACCAATTAGTCACTCAAATGTGTTTTGTAATTATCAAAATCATAAGTACAACATTTAATCATTATGTTATTTTTTATGAAAATTCTATTGAACATGCTATCTAAGGAAATCGAACATTTCTTCACTTTGTACAATGAGAAACGCATAATCTACGTGGCATGAAGAGTATTGTTTGTTAATTTTGTGCATTATGATTAATATGTTACATGATAGAAAAATAGTACAGTAATGTTGTGTATCTTTCAACATAATATTATAATTATTCATGATGAATTAAATTGGTGTATTGAAATAAACATGAAGGGACATTGTAAAATGATACTTGCAAAATGCAAAAGTTCATGTCACACTATATAGATCAAAATTTATGACAATGAAAGAAAAATATATATGATATGAATACAAAAGATAATGAATTTAAACTATGGTGTTAACAAAGGTAGAAAAAATAGAATGAAACAATATGAAGATAGCAAACTTACCTTAAAGAAAGAAAAATATGTAAGTTGTTGCTGTAACTAATCCTTTAATACGTTAATCGCCTTGTTGGATTGTGACAAACTGCGGGAGAAAGATGAAATAGAGATGAGAGGAAATATGACAGTAATGTTTTTAGAAGGAAGGCAATTGCAAAAAATTTGGGGTGAGTGTGGGGAATTGGGCATTCAGCAACATGATGCATGTTGCTGAAAACTTGCATCACCAACATAGGATGTGTTGGTAAAAGAATAAGGCTTTCAACAACATAATGGATGTTGTTGAAAGTTAAATCTTAGGTTAAATCCCTATTTTAGTTCTTGAACTATTGTACAGACTCCGATTTGGTCCTTGAACTAAATAAATCCCTAATTTGGTCCTTGAACTATTGTATGGACCCTTGAGTTGGTCTCTAAACTATTGTACGAACCCCCGAGTTAGTCCCTAAACTATTATACGGATCCCTAATTTGGTCCCTACTATTTACCAATTTAGCTCCAACTTGGTCCTTCTATTAAATAATAGCTCAGGGACCAAATTGGGGCAAAATTGTAAACAGTAAGGACTAAATTGGGGATCCGTACAATAGTTCAAGGACCAACTTAGGCCAAATTATAAATAGTGGGGACCAAATCAGGGGTCCGTACAATAGTTTAGGGACCAAATAAGGGATTTCTTTAGTTCAAGGACCAAATCAAGGGTCCATACAATAGCTCAAGGACCAAAATGAAGATTTAACCTAAATTTTATTCAAAGATGGAAGTGGCAGTTGGATGGATGTGACGGTAAAGTATTACACTGTTCAAAATCTAAGACTCCGATTCTTGCATGTAGTTTGGTAAAATCATATCAACAGTTAAAAATACAGTGATTAAAATAGGTTTAAGTACCATTTTAGTCCCTCAACTTTACACTTTGGTACCAAAATTGTCCCTTATCTTTAAAAAGTACCAAAATTATCTTCGAACTTTCATTTTTGGTACCAAAATAGTTCTTCGGTCAGTTAAATGACAGGTGTCACGTTAATTTGCCAGCAAATCACTTAACTTTTTAAATGTTAATGACGTGTAAATCCAACCAAGAAAACTCCCATTTTTTTAATCAGTTAATACATTAAAAAAATAAAATTACTTAAATGCCCTCATCCTCATCCTCCAACCTTCCTTTCTTCTTTCTCCTGCATC